GTAATAGCTTGCCACAAAAAGTGCTTCATCTTGCTTGGAGCCTTTAGAGTCCATACATGACTCTGAAGGCCTTTGACGCTTGGTTCGAGAACCATATCATGTATAAGCTTCGTCTTACTCAATTGGAGCAGATTATATCCAGTTTTAACTGAATAGACTCCTGTCTTTGTGTGATTCCAAACATATCCATCCAGAGCAGAGGAGCGGGAAGGTTTTATCCCAAGTATCAATGGGACATCATCTGGCTGAAAAAAATTTCGTAGGAGTTGGATATCCCACTCCTTGGTATCATTCCTAATAAAGGCCTGAACAGGGAGTTGGGGAAGTCTATAGACAATGTGATCGGCGGGTCTAGGTGGCCGAGCCACTGAGTCAGGAACCCAAGGCTCGCTCCATACCCTTGTATCGCGGCCTGTTCCAATTGTCCTTCGTAACCCCAACATAAGTAAAGGTCTTGCTGCCATAATTTATTAAAAATAAGTTAAATAATTACAGTACAAAGTATATTGTTTTAATAAATTTAACTTTTCCATTGTTTTATGTTATTTTGTTTATTTGTTATGTTTTAATAATTTTAGTTAGATATTTTTTTTTGTTTTTGATTATTTGTTATATTTTAAAATAATTATAGTTAATTATTATAAATCATTAACATAAACGTGCAATAAGAAATATATTCGACCAAAAAGCATACTCTATCAATAATAAATACTGTTTGATATAATAACAATGACACTATATAGTTATGGACTGACTATACATGTTTTAATAATCTTATGTAGTTATGGATTATCTATATTGTTATTTGAGAATTGATTTTGCTTATATATCATGTTCTCCATAATTTTAAGCTATTTTAACTTTGTCTAACATACCCACAAATTAAAGCAGCCCAAGAGACTAGATCTTTCTTTGGCATCTCACTGAATAGCTTGTTAGCTGCCTCCATATCACCTACTTTGGCATATCCGAAGATGAGAGTAGTCCAAATATAATTATCCTTCACTGCCATCTTAAGGAAACATCGCTTGGTGCTCCCCATCTGACCACATTTCACATACACATCCATTGAACCATATAGCACCACATTTGAGAGAAACCAGCAACGAGAACCTGCCCGTGAGCTTGCCAAATGAGCTGGACCTCTCTTGATTTAACACACACCGTCAACCTGGCAAAGCTGAACACGTACTCGATCCCAGATCTCCTCAACTCTCTAGAAAACCAAAGAGTTTCGTTTAGATTCCCATTCTGTCGTAACCAATGACCATCGTGTTCCTGGAGACAACATCCCTCTCAAGCATACTATCGAACATGTCTCATGCACGGCCCAACATCCCTGACTTGACAAACCCAGAGATCATATTGTTCCACTAATACAAGTTCCTAAAGTGCATTTTATCAAACACTTTACATTCCGATCAAATGATTAGACAAAATCGTGTTGGATTTCTTGAAACCAGTAATCTTCAAGTGACGATGAATCAATTTGAAACTGATCCGCCTCCGTTTCTACTTTACGCAGGCGAGCTCGGGAGTTTTCTAATTGTTGAATAGCTCCTTCATGTAATTCTTCTGAATTTCGAATACTATTTAATATCCTCTGCTTTCGGTAATTTAATAAATCATTTAATGAAAGTAAATTATGTTTATTAAGATCCCACATTGGGTATTAATATGATCTTTAAACAATATATAAGTGTATGTAAAATCCTTCACTCTTAAACTAGTTTTTCGATGTGAGTTACGCCCATGACTAATATTTCAAAGACCTCGTTTCTCCACAACGCTGCAGCAGCGACGCAAGGACTTCAAATGGTAAGGGAATCTCTTGCTCTGTTAAGAACTCGAGAAGAGACAGCGCCTGAGAGAGCTCTTCTTTGGCAGCGTGTCTGTTGAGAAACGATCGAGTGACACAGATTGGCCGTTTCCTTGGGCTACTGATGGGTATTAGAGGGAGAAATAACCATGGGAGAAGACTTCACTCATTGTATGTCCATCGTATGGATCAACCTGTACAAAAGGTTTAACGACAGCGGGATGAGTTAGAAAACCGGATCTGGTTTTTGTTATTGGATCAAACAAACAAAGACCTCTCTCCGTAATCACTTTTGGGTTTAGGTCTTTGGTCTATGGGCCTCCTTTTCTATCATTTATCTCCGACTTTGAATTTGTAAAGGTACAAGTAGGGGTGGGCAGATATCCGAACTCGTATCCGAACCCGATCCAAAATATCCAAACCAAAATCCGAATCAAAGTAGTAAAATACCCGAACAGGTATTGAGATAGGAGAGTTTGGATATCCGAACCCAAACGGGTAATATCCAAACCCGAACGGGTATCCAAACATAACCGAACATATGTATATATACCTATTTATTCCTAGTTTATTTGTCTCATTTTATTAAAAATATTTATATTAATGTTATATATAGTTTAAGATCAGATAATATACATATAATTGTAAAAAAAATTGATTTGTTACTCATTTAAAATGCATATTAAGCTTCTTATTTCAAATTTTAAACAAAATTTACATCTATAAATTCGAAAATAACAACCAAAATAATGATTTTTATTTTCAATAATTTATTTTCAAACTTATTAATCGTTTAACTTATTAAATATTTTAAAAACAGTTAAGTTAATAGTTAAATTTCAAATACATGAAACTTAAGTAATAAAGAATTTGAAAATTTTCTTTCAAAATCTAAATATCTGAACCCGACCCGAAATAACCTGAACTAAAAATATCCAAACCCGGCCCGATATGTAAAAATACCTGAACGGGTTCTAAACCCCAATACCAAAATACTCAAAAACCCAAAATATCTGACCCGTATCCGAACGCCCATCCCTAGGTACAATTATTTTCTCCTGTATTATACATGAACCTTTGTTTTATAATTGTATATACTTGTTTTATAATTTACGCTGGAAAATGTAATTAAAGGATTATGTAATTTACTGCGGAAACAAATGTTATTTATAGAGTTATATTTATTACTAAACTTAAAAAGAAAATTAACTTTTTCTTGTTTATATTACAGCAGTCCAATATGGACACAAGATGGTTGCTATGTAATAATCGATTTACTAAAACAAAACAGAAATCCATTACATATGAAAAATCAAATTGAGGAAAAGCATAACTTTTGTATATAGTTAACATTAATATTTTTGTACTTTTTCCTATTTCTTTTATATTCATCTTCATTTTCGCAGTACTGTTTTCCTAATACTCTTTTTAAGTTCTTTTTATTATACTATACTTGCACTAAACATATATAATCTTAGCTTCTGATAGAAATTGCAAACAAAAAATGTAAAAGAAAACCTCTATCATCATATTAGTATATTACTATGAGGTTATTAATACACAAACTAAAGAATTAGTAAAACAAACCTGCTGATAAGGTGAGGTCTTGATCTAAAGAGTAGATATGAATCTTTTTTCGTTTACTCTACCCACATGAGTTTCTGAAAAGTCATCCTATTCCTTTCACTAGTTCAGAAGGGAAAATTGCATTAAAAATATGAATTTAGCAAAAGTTTGCATTTTAAATTTTGATGCTCAACTTCTAACACTTTAAAAAATGAAATTTGTATCAATAACATATTAAACATCGAACTAACTTACTTGTTTCATACGTCAAAATTGAGACTGATTATTGTTCATTAGTAGGTAAAAAATGGTGACAATGCGGTTTACTTAAAAAATATTTAATTAATAGAAAAAATAATCTTAGATAAAAGATCAATATGAATTCTAAAATTGATATAAATTCAGGAAAAATAATCAAAATTCAGAAATTAAAAATAAAAATAAATTTATAAATTCAAAAGTTTATAATAAAACTAAAATAAATAGTGAAAATTGATTAAAACTAACAAAGTAGGAGAAGATTAGAAATTAAAAAGTGTAAAATTAGAAATTAAGGAATTTATAAAAATATGGAAAACAAATAAAATTCAAAAATAAAAAATAAAAAATAAAAATTCAAAAGACTGATAAAAATTAGAAAATTTAATAAAATCAGGAAAAGCAAAAATTAAATAATTAAAATACTGAAAATGAAAATTAATAAAGATCAATAATTTTTTTTATAAATTCAAAAAACAATAATAAAAAAAATTATGAAAATTGATTAAAAATTAAGAAAAAAAAATCTGAAAAAATAAAAGAAAACCATGAAAGTGGCAACAATTTGCAAAAACCATGAAATTCGCAAAAAGTTTACATTTTCAAGTGTCTTGTTGAGTTCAAATCTCTTGGATCTAAAGGATCTGAACCCAGACATCTAAACGCTTATGTGTGTACCTAAACACCAAAGATATTTGGGTCAAGTACTTTTCATTTTCAATTTTTATTTTTTTGATTTTTTAATTTTTATTTGTTTACCAGATTTTTATAAATTTCCTATTTTCTATTTTTATCGATTTTACACTTTTATTTCTATTTTTATTATTTTTACTATTTTTAGTTTTAATCGATTTTTACTATTTATTTTTATTTTTATTATAAAGTTTTTAATTTATAAATTTATTTTTAATTTTAATTTATGAATTTTATTTATTTTCTTTGTTTTCCTGAATTTATATCAATTTCTAGAATTTATTATTGATTTTTATCTAATTTTATTTGTTATTATCGATCTTCATCTAAAATTGTAGATTTGCCTATGTTAATATGATCCTTAGAAGTTTTAGATCCATAAGGATAGAAGTTGGAATTTCAGATAGAATCAATGGGTTGTTGCAGATAGAAAATAGTAACTAACATGTCTAAATGAGGTAGAGTTGAATTTAAATTATGGAAATGTGATTGGGTTTCAAAGAAAGATCATAGATGTGGTGTGAGAAAACACTATGATTTTACTTTGTATAAAATATAAATTATTAGAAATTAGTTAATATCTGACACAACCTTTTTATTTGGTTTTTTTTGCATTTTAATTTATTTAAAAATTAAAGTATATACCATGTGTCAGAATTTCAGTTACCAAGTAACTTGTGTTTTACTATAATGGAAAAGTACATATTTTATTTATCTCAAGTTATACATGTTACATAATACGGATCACGCAAATATTATATGAAACTGAAACAAAATCCTATAATTTTCTCTAGTGAACAACAGTAATGTTATAGCCAACAATGGCATCACCGGTCTTAGGATCGAACCAATGGGTCTGAGCAATAGCATACCCACGAGCCATCCTGAACATTCCAGTGCCGCCCACGATTGGCATTTCTCGAATTGGGTTCATCGCAGAATTCTTCCCGATCATGCTTATGGTGCTGTCCTTGTACGGACCGTCTTCGAAACAGAAGCTCATCGCCATTAGCAGTCCTAACTCTTCTTTACCTGTCCAATAAAGTATAAAATCCAATTAAAACCGGTTATTTCCAACCGGTCCGGTTTATCATATTAAAAAAATATTATTATGCATGGTTACATGAAGAACCGTAAAGGCCTTGGGCCCTGCCCACGAGCTTGGATTTGGGGTCGGCCGTCTCGGTGAGAGCATCGTCGACCATGAACACTGAGCCGAACAGCGTCGGAGATTTGTCAGTGTCGGCGGCTTGTGCTACCTTAACGGCGGTCGGATTCTTGCCGCTCAAAGTGTCGTGGAAATAGAACTGAAGGTTAGTTACCTTGTCCTTACCAGATTCCTCCAGCTGATTAGCCCAGCTGTACAATCTCGAACCTTGAGCAGCCAGTGGTATCATCGTTGTCAATAGAAACAGCAATCTTGATATTTCTGCTTTTGCCATCTTCATAAATAGTTGTTCCCTTCTCTTCTGATGTTTTAGTTGTGCAAGTAAATTGAGTTCCAAGTGTGATGTAACAATGATTATTTATATTGCACAATTTATATTTTCACTACTCAATACTGATCAGGGTCCAAGTTTGTTCAACCAAACCAAAGAGAGGATCTTAGATTAGAAAATAAGAAAATGATGTGTCAAAGTCAACAATGTGTTAGCGTAATGGTTCACCTAAAAGTATAGCAGTTGTTCGAATTAAGTAATTATATAATACTAGTTGCATATTTTCCGCGCAAGCGCGAGGCCGAAATCATTGTGTTTGCGTATATTTTTTTGCGATTTTTAGTTTAGTGGGTTCTTCTAATGACACCAAATAATAATGAAATGGAAAGAATGTAGCAAGAGTGCAAAGTGAAAATATTGTATATATAATGTGTTAAATGTTATTTATATACGAAGTAAGGTTTATAGGAATAGTTAGGCTATAATATAGGTTTTAGTGTGTAAAAGTAGGTGTTTATTTGTTTTGTTTTTTTTTTGCTGTAAATAGTTTTATATCGTAGGTCAAAAATTGATATAATTCTATATTTGTAGTATTTATATTTGTATTAAACGATTTATCAATTTGAAAATAACTTTAATTAAGTTAATATTCGTTGTTTAGGTTTCATTAGATAGGTTTTTATATATGGTTTTTTGTAAGTTTGAGTTTTGTTCATAAATGATGTGGCATATTTATCTATGGTGTCATCGACTGTGGGAATCCATTCACCGGAGTCTGGAGTCGCTGGTGAGGAATGTTTTCAATGAAATTATAGTAGTTATTAAAATGTAAGAGAAATTACATATTCATTTAATAAATACCGAAAAATACTTAAAATTTTGTTGTTTTTTAATTTTATTTCACATGCAAATTTTTTGAAAATATATTAGGAAATATGTGCAGTGATTTAATTTTTGAGCTCCTAATCTATATTATTCAAATCTGCTTAAGCCATCCACGTAATCAGCCGCGCAGGACTCACCTTTTTTTCTTCATATGTTCGTATTTGAATCCATTTTTTATTACTTTTGCGCTGAGTTATATTATAATAGGGCAGTTTTCAGGCTCCTTAAGTCATCAGCGTAGGCAACCTCGTGGGACTCACTTTTTTTTTTGGGGGGGTTGTTCGTTTTTTGATCAATTTTTAATTGTTTTTTGGTTTGAACTTGTTAAGGTTTAGGGTATCCAACTATTTTCATCTTTAAAACAATAAGCTCAAAAGAAAAAAGCATAAAACACTATAAACAAAAAGCTCGGCTAAAGTGTATTTCGTTATTCGTAATCATCTTACCAAGATTATGGACTTTTAAAAAACACACATAGGATTCACAAAACTGCTGATGTGACACACTGTGGAACTTAGAAATTCTACTATTATAATATAGATTATTAGCCAAGTTGGTGTTTTGTTTAACCTAGCAACTCTAAGCCATTAAGTGCAAAAATATTCACAAGAAATTTTAGAATTCGGCTTGGTTTATGTTTCGATTCGGTTTAATCAGATTTTCTTTTAGTTCTTTGAAAAGAAATCATCATGTGGGTGACTATAAAAAACTAAACTATGTAAAGTTAATCCAATATAAAACTGAAATAAAAACATTCTAAGCAGAAACAATTATAAGAATATAATTAAATGAACATGTGATGATGACTTATTCTTAGGTTCACCCCCTAGGGTGAACCTCTAGGTTCACCAACCAATAGGATGATGTTATTTCATATTTGATATCTTTTAAAAAAGGAAACAAAATCTTGTCAAATTATATTATGTTTTTAAAATAAAACTAGAAAAAAATAAATAAGAATAATAATATTTACAAAAAATGAAAAAAATTTCTTTAAAAATATATTTTACCATTATATTATGTTTTAATATAAAAGATAAAAATAAAATAAAAACAGTAATAATTGCAAAAAACAATTTAAAACAAAAAAAAAATCTTTTAATATATCTTTAAAATAGAAACATGTGTTTAAAATAAAAAGATAAAAATAAATAAAAAACAGTATAATTGGTTAGTATTAATTTACCCAAGGGTTAAGACTTTTCCAAAGGGCTTATGATTTACCCAAGGGTTTAGGGTCTGGGATTAGGGTTTAGGGTTTAGTATTAGGGTTTAGGGTTTAGGATTAGGGTTTAGGGTTTAATGTTTTAGTATTAAATATTTTTTTAAAGTTTTTTCGTTTTTTAATATTATTATTTTTATTTATTTTTTCTTTTTTTTTGTTGTAAAAACATAATATAACTTAACAAGATTTTATTTTCTTTTTAAAAAGATATCAAATATGAAATAACACCATCCTATTGGTTTGTGAACATAGAGGTTCACCCTAGGGGGTGAACCTAAGAATAACTCAGTGATGATGCGTTATGATGTTTTATAGATGGGATTTTGTCATTTTCTTGCACATTTTTTTGTTTGGGGTTTAACCGAAAACCCCATTGAAAATTGAGTTGATATACGAATGAGTGAAAATTCATATGCTTTGAAATATTTATATCATATTTTAGTGATGATTTTCTCGAATATTTGTGTTATTAGTGCTTTTATGTCCACGATGGGTGATCTATTATGTTGTTATTGTCTAATTTGTAGGTTGGTAGTATATTATTGTTAAATAGTGAATTAGCATTTAAAAAAATAAGATTTTATTAAATTATACAAATAAATATAGTTTAATGGATTGAAGATAGAAAGATGAAACGTGTTTGTTGAGGGGTTGTGTGGAATGTTTAGAGATTAATATTTATTAGTGAGTAAAGACCTATTTTTATTTACAGATAAGAGTGTTTAACGAATTCATATGTGTTCATATTTCTACATTTTTTTACAATTTAATTGGATCTTAACTTTATTAGTGAGTTAATAACCATATGTAGCCAAACATAGGTATTTGTTAATATACAACTATAATATGGGAACGAAGAAGAAATAATTTTGTTATCCGAAAAGAAATATAGTTTGTTGTTTTCAATGTGCCATGACATGTTTTGAAAATATATAACTGTAGTTTAATAATGCTAATGTTTCGTATAATTATATACATGTATGACTAAGATAGTTATTTTTTTGTATTTGTTAAAAATATTTTGTGGTAGTTTAAAAATGGTAATGGCGGATTAAAAAGTTTAGTCGTATAGGACTACATTCAAACACAATGAAAATGTAGTAGCTGTGTTTTAAATGATTGGACTTGAAATTTTATGAGTCCTGAGTCTCAATTTAGATCTGAAACTAGATTGTTTACTCGCCCTTTTTGTTTCTCCTCGTCATCTTCAGCAGTGTGACAAGCTCTTGTGATTCTTTGTCTGATTGCGTTTTTAGTGTGTCATTTTGTGAAATTATGGTTTTTCTATAGCAACATGGAAGAGAGATTTGCTCACCTCAGTTAAGGATGTCTCCGCCGCATTCCTTACTTAGTGAACCTCTGTTGATTCAGTGTTCTTGGAACCTGCAATAAGAATGGTTGAATTTGTTGTATGACTTTGTTTCTATTATTATTAGTTTCGTTTACTAAAACCCATATTGAATGATTTGAGGTTCTATATGTTTATTTGGTTGGTATGGTTTATGTTTACTTTAACAAGACAGAGAGACTCGAAGGCTGCATGACGGACGCCGGTGACGATAGTTTTAGGAACTGGAGAAGCAGAGAGAGACATTTTCTAGAAGATGGTTAAAACTAAGAGGAATAGAAAAGTTTTGTGGAGATACAGATAGGGTTCATCAAAGATGAGAATCATATATAGGATTTACAGAGGGGCCAAAAATCAGGAACATTTATGATTAAGCGATGTAAGATGGGGAGATGAAGAGTTCACGGTGAAAAAAATAGATTACGAACCACACGGCGCAACTCTGTAACTCAGACCTGTATGAGACGATGGTGAAAGGAATCTTAACTCATTTTAAACATTGACGGTTTACAATATGGGAAAACTATAACTGTTGTAAACTTGAGGATTTTCTTCATATAATGTGATGAAACACAATTAAAAATGAAACTCATAATACACTTCCAGGCCCGACCTTTAAAGGAGGCCATAGATGCAAAGGCTTTCGGCTAAATATATATTAGTTTCAACCATAAATGTACAAGTTATCATGTAGTTTAGTGGTATGAATGTTAGTGCTTGTTTTTTAATAACCCGGGTTCGAATCATATGTTTGACATTTTTCACATTTTTTAAAGTGGAACCCACCTAATACTGATGTGGCGCGCTGAGGAATCTTGAAACTCAACTATTATAATACACTAGTAGTTGGTCCGCGCTTCGCGCGGAATGTATTTTTATTGTCTATAATATATATTTATATGTGTTTATTGAATGTGAGATTATATCTCATTTGAGAATTGTGTTGTATATATTTTAGTGCTGATAGTGAGTTTTTTTCCCCATTAAATTGTACATGGGACTAACAATTGGTTGATTAGATATTGTGTATTTAACGGAATTGTCATATACTTCGGAAGAAGTTTTCTATTTGTGCTCACCTCATTATTTTAGCATTAGTTTTACTGATATTTTTAAATTATATTAGGCACTAAGCCTTATAATATTAGTGTCGTTGATATGAAAATTGAATTTGAATACAAAGTTGTTATTTTTCTCTCACTCGTGGTTTTGGTCGAAATTTGAGTATCTATGATTAGTTTCATTTGTTTCTTTCAATTTAATTTTTCCATATATTATCACTCGTGTTAAAGTTATATTTCTTTTACTTATTTTTTTCGTTGTATTTTATTAATCTTTGCTACATTCACCGTTATATCGTGTTGACCCCTTCAGATCATAATTGTTTAACAATGATTATTTAATTTTTTTGACTACCTAACAATTGGTATTATAGGCTAGAAACGATTGCTCACTGACTATGCTGTTGGCCTCTGTATTTGTGTAAGACAGTGTTATAATGAGACTCATTGGACTTCAGACCTAAAGTTAAGTAAATCAATTTACAATGACAAACTCCTTCCAATGAGTCGCATAAAATACTTAAGTTAGA